TTGCGGGGAAAAAAAAATTAGCTAAAAGAAAATGTAATCTAATGAAAACCACTTTATAAAGGCTGGAAACAAACTATTGTCTTTTGGACTTAAAAGGGATGATTTTAGTTTAGTATTATTTTTGTTCCCCCATCTCTCCATTGTTATCAGAAATTCTGCAAAATGAACAAGCCTATTTCAAAACTGTACTCATATTTCCCTCCCCACAAAATGTTCTTTGCCAATGTATCCCTCCAATCATGGTGAATGGCACAAACTTCCATCCAGTTCCAAAGCCACAAATTCATGAGTCATTTTTGATGCCTTCTTCACTCTTCCTCCATTTATCTCATCAAGTCCTGTTCCCAGAAGTTCCTCAAATCTTCCACTTTGTTCCAACCTATCACCATGAGGTATAATCTAATCAGCCTCCCATCTATTCTCCATAGTGCACAAATTTCAAATCCCAGGAGTCTGGCTCTTCCCTTCTTCAGCCTCAGCTTGAAAGATGAAATAATGTCGCCCATGCTGTATGTGCAGGACTCTATAGTTCTTCAATGCATGGTAAAGTGCTGAATGCACAAGTTGTTCCTCATCTGAACACCCTTCTGCTCACCTAATTAACTTTTACTCCTTCAGATACATCCCCTTTCTCAGAGAAAGATCTCTCTAACCCCGCACCATCCCTCACTCCCAATCACAGATTCTGATTCCTGCTTTCATATTTACTACTGGTCTCATTTTGCAATTACTTAGGACTATTTCATGCTAGGCACAATAAGGGCAGGAATCCTATTTTTGCTGCCTAGTACACTGTCTGGAACATAGCATGCAATAAATACCGGCTGACATAATATATATTAATAAATACTCCACCCAATACCTTAGTTGTGATAAATCAATGTCAGTTACTTGTACAGGCAGAATTGGGAATGCAAAACTACAACTTTAGATGCATCATTCAAAACACAAGGGTGTAAGGATAAAAGCAGCATACATATTATAGGGAGGCTGGAGTCCTACTATGGTTCATTAAGTCTGATACAGTAAACATACAAAAGAAACCTTAAAGAACACACTTTCAAAGATCTGCAGAGCAGCTACCAAAAACGAACTTAAAAAAATGTTTAGCGGTGCCTGACTGGCTCAGTCAGAAGAGCATGCGACTTTTTTTTTTTTTTAGATTTTATTTATTTACTTGAGAGAAAGAGAGCACATGAGGGGGGAGGGTCAGAGGGAGAAACAGACTCCCCGCTGAGCAGGGAGCCCAATGCGGAACTCGATCCCGGGACTCCAGGATCATGACCTGAGCCGAAGGCAGTCGCTTAACCAACTGAGCCACCCAGGCACCCAGAGCATGCGACTCATCTCAGTCATGAGTTTGAGTCCCACATTGGGTGTAGAAATTAAACAAACGCATAAAAAAAAAAAAAAAAGATAATGTTTAGGTAGCTTGTTCTTTTGTTTCCTACAACACCAGAAGAAAATGAAGGTCCGTATGTGGGAGCATTATGAAGAAAGTGAAAACATCCCAGTTCCTTTAAACCCTCACACAAAGAACACCCTTGATAGTTTTGTCAGACTTTTAAGGAAATTCACCATCCTTTAGCAGTAACTGTTAAACTTTGCAAAAAACTTCCAGGAATATAAAACTGAAACTTAAACTTGGGAGACATATATTTAAGTTAGTATTTTCTAAAAGGCATAGTTAGAAAGTAAAATAAAGGGCATAAATGTTACCTTTCATAATACTCTTGACAAATCCATTCATTTTAAATACAACTCAAAGCCTACATAACTAAGTTTACCAAGTTGGTTATTAGACCACTAAAAAGAATACACAATTACACCGTGTCCTGATATGATAAAAAAGAAATTTAGGTTACACAACCCCCTCTCTTGGCCAAATAAACTTTATTAATATACTGATTTAAGGCCTTAAGCCTTTGTTAATTTACAACTCTGTAAACCTATTATTACTGGGACCATTTTACTCACTGATATTAACTATCTTCATTAAAATAACTATTCATTATCAAATTAAAGGTTTTAGCTGTTTAAAGGGCAATGCTACTGAGCTAAGTAATTATCAGAGTGAATGTTCACATTCAGTGCTACCTTCATGTATATATATATTTTTTAAAGATTTTATTTATTTGAGAAAGAGAGAGAGAATGAGAGATAGAGAGCACGAGAGGGAAGAGGGTCAGAGGGAGAAGCAGACTCCCCGCCGAGCAGGGAGCCCGATGCGGGACTCGATCCCGGGACTCCAGGATCACGACCCGAGCCGAAGGCAGCCGCTCAACCAACTGAGCCACCCAGGCGCCCCCTTCATGTATATTTTTTACAAACATACTCCTATCACATAAATTGGTAGAATAGTAGACATTTCTGAGTATTTTTGATTAACTAGTGAATCTAATTTGAAATTAGTCCACCACATTTGAAAGACCTAGATTTCTACTATAAAAAAGTTCACCTTAACTGGGCAACTGAAGAATAAACTGTGGTATAATAGCTATGAAACACTTCATTTTCCCCTTTTACCCACTTATGCCTTAACACAGTTTTAAAAAGAAAAAGATTAAAAGATTCATTTAAATTTCCCAGTAAACTTTCCCTTTAAAAAGCTCCCCAAACCCTTTAGCTTTAGATACAACAAAACAAAGATGTGGTGAAAGCTAAAAATAACCTAATGGTTTTCTCTTGGAAATAAAAGTTTAAAAGCCTAGAATTTACATACTCAGGGTCAGGCCATAATCTGCCCCAGAAAAGCAAAATCCTTAAGTTACACATTGCCCTATGGTTTTTTTCCCCACATCACCATTGCTTCCAACACTAAAAGAATTTAAGAAAGCCCTAAGACCATAAAGCTGAAACTTCTGGCTCTCTTCCCTCACTTTACAGATGAAATATCACACATCCTGTACCCCACTCCCCTAAACCAAACCAAAAAAAGAGCTGAGACCATAATAATGATAGAACTCAGAGACTAGGCAACATAAAAGATTGTGGAAAAATAAATACAAGTAGTCATTAGACATAAACCACCTGGAGAAAAGGAAACCAGTTCTGCTTTTAAATAACTTTATTTTTTCTAATTTTGTGTTACTTTAATTTCCCATAGCACCTTGGTAATGTTGAAAACAGAAATACAAATACAAGATGTACTCATTTTAACATAATATGCATGAGCATGTGTCACACCATCTTTTTTGGGGGGGAGGGGGCGGTTTGGACAACAGGAACAAACCTAAGCAATGGACAAAATAGAAGCTGGGTAACTGGTTCTGATCCCTGACCCTGAACATTTAACAGGGGTCACTCAAAAGACATGTAAATCAGGCAAAAAAAAAAAAAAAAAAAACAACATTGATGTAGATGTTTCTTTATCTATACTAATCAGTGTTTTGTGCTACAAAACTGAAAATAAAGCCATTTTATTTTATACACAACCTGTTGACATCTGAGTTGTACTTTTAGGAACTGTCTACTCAACAATTCATAAAAAGTTGTTAGTTTTTAAAAATAAACAAATTATTTAATAATCAGGTGATTCTGAAAGAGTTTACTTTCAACTTGAACACAAATTCTCTTTCAACTTCTTAAAATGTCTCATTCAGTTAATAAAAACTGAAATGTCTATGTATCTTCTTGGAAGCTCAGACTAGTTAAATTAGGATACACCAGAAAAGCCTAAAGTTAAATTAATGGCCACCAAATTGTAAGGAAATATAAAAAATTAGGAAAAAACCTCACCATATAGTTAATAATTTATAAAAACCCTCAAAAGGAATATACTCTCCTCTTGCATTTTATCTTTTCTGTAAAAACAAACAAAATGGGTACTTTTAAAATATGGCTAATATACATGCCCAACACAAATATCAAGAGACTTAACCCCAGTGCTGTTCAACTGTGTCAAAGTAAAACCAGGGGACATTTAAGCCAAAAGACTAAATATTAAGACCATAACTAATAAAGCTAAAGAAAGCATTCAGTAACTTTTCAATACTATTTTCTGCTCCAGCAGATGCAAATACTCCATCATTAAGCCTTTTGCAAAGCCAACCTGGTTATTTAAAAGGAATGTGAAACAATATTCAAGCTACCTTAATTTTAGGAACCAAAAATAAATTAAAAATCACATGTAATTTGAGATCACATGCAAATGGAGCACAAAAGATGACAACAATAAATCCTGATTACTGAAAGATCTTCTCTTCCAAAATCCAAGTGAATAAAATTTAGATGGATCACTCTTTTGAATGCCAATGTCTATATTTGTAAAAAATGAAATCACTGAGTAGAGACAGGCCCTAGATATTATGAAAACCTCAATTATCAAGATAGAAAATGGAGACAGGTTTTGCAGTATCTCCAAATACCTTTTCTATGAAGTGCTAAGTGATGAACTTGTGTGACTCTTGTTCTCTTCATGCAGTAAGAACTATGACAGAAAACCACCATACTATACACTCACTATCACTTGTATCTACTTTGAGCCTCCAATAACCCAAGGAAATGTTAAGTCATAAGGATGAAGAGAAAAATTTGACATTTAAATTCCTCCCTCTACAGAACCAAATAAATAGCTGAACTACAATAAACGCCCAACCTGCATCAGTTACAGAGAACTGCTGGAAAAAGAAATCCACTTTCACACAACTCACAGGCATCATTTAGATACAAACCTTAAATCTGCTGTAATAAAATAAATGCTAAATACATACTGTGAATATATATAATTACACACACACACTCCTTCTTCCCTATACATCCCACCAAACTGGGAACTATTAGCTGTAATGAGGCAAATTAAATTAAAAACACGATATATAAGAAATTTAAAAATGATCATGTCTTCAAATTTCTACTTTCAATAACATTTTGGGTAAAAAAGAACACAGTTGCTTTCTTCAAAAGAAGACTCTTTTCTTGTGTTTCAATTAGAACATATAGCTTTTAGAAGTTGGGTGAACTAACAGTAAGTCACACAAGCATACAACACAATGTGACACACATTGTAAAAAAGTAATGTTTCATTTTAAGTGCAATAATTAAGTTTATAATCCTTACCAAGTGATTTTTATAAAATGTTTATTCTCTTAAATCCAATGCATTCACAGAGTGTTAACACTTTAAATGTTTATCATTTCCACCAACTGCATTATCTAAGTAAACCAAAATAAGCACTTTTATCATAGATGTAGTCAATGATTATTAATACCTTTTTTTTAAAGGACCTAAACTCCCCCAAATTTCAGCACAGGTAGTTTTATTGTATGTTTCATCTAGCAGATGATTTTTAAAAATAGTGTGTAGAAATGAATAGTTTCAAACTGCTTAAATATATTATACCATGTTATCAATCCACCAAATCAAAAGCAATTGCCAAGCTGAATAATAAGTTACAAAGAAATGATAATCCTGGCTTGTACAGAAATGTGCAGTGTTTAGTTAGCTACTAATACAAATCTCTAAAGCTTAACTTAGAGTTGGAAGATGAGTTTCACAGTAATGTAATTTTAACCTCCATTTACATTCATTTTAATATATTACTAAGATGTTTACTCTATGTCACAATGGTGCTTTCCAGTGTTCACAATTTACAGTTTCAATTTGTACATATGTAATTCACTAACATAAGGGACAGTTATGACTATTACAAACTATCCCTAAAAAGAAAACAAAACCCCACCTTACATGGAACTCTGAAAATGGTATGACTTAACACAGATTAATGCAACATGGTTTTTAATATTTTAGCCATTTTCTAAACACCAGCATGTAAACTTGCCTACTTAATATGACAGCTACATTTATTCACTGAGAAAGTATGTATTAATTTTCTTCAACTATCTTTCTCACCTTAAGTAAAAAAATCTCATGACTTGCTGGTTCTGTTTCTGTGAATTCCAAACTGTATTTTTTGGGGGGGGGGCGGAGAAAAGGAAGGAAGATGATAAAACACATTGTAAACAGAAAAAGTCACCCCCAAATTAAGCCTTTAATTTTTTTTTTTTAACTTCTACACTATTTAACACTTTAAGAAATCACTTACAATGTTTCATCTTTAACACGAATACAAATAAATTACTGTAGGGTCAGTCTGACCTACCATTCTGGGATCTAAAGTTCTAAATACATGAACAGAAGAGTAAACTACTTCAATGTTCAATCGGAGATTTAGAACAGTTATATGATTCGACTAGACTGGTCAAGGCAATTAGAAACATACAATTCTGTAGGATGTTGGTTATTTTGCTTTTGGGGGGTGGGTAGTCAACAGAGAATAATGAAGTAACAAAAAAACCTGTCTCCTATTTGGGGGGGAGGGCAGGAAATCACAAAGCAGTTTAAACCTCTGAAGTCCATTTGACCTATCCACTCAGATCTAAGACAAATATTTGATTTTTTGAATAACCCCCTTTCTTTCCTTGAGTATCAAACTGATTGATAGTCACATCTCTAAGTACAATCAGAGCTTAACAGTTTGTTGAATGAAATATTAAGGTCAAAAAGACAGACAATTTCAAAATGGAAAAAAAAATCTACTCAAGTATTACATTCAGTTTTCAAATCATTTTCTAACATGACAACAGATTTGGCTTCAATCACTCTTGCACACACTCACACAACAGGCACCCCAGCCACTGATCTGCTTTGCAACACAAGGCCATATAGGCAGAAATGGCATTCTCCAAGCCAAACTTTAAATAGATTAAAAAAAGTAATTTCTAATTTTACAGAAATGCTTCTTCAAAAAATATTTTCTCTCACTCCCTCATCTCCTGTACTGAAGGATGTGTAATATGTTTTTTTCTCAAGCTAAATCTGAACCCTCAAAATTGATTCTAGGCAGAAGATCTCTGCAAATTAAAATCAAAAACAAAAATAGAAAAATTATATTTTTATATATGTATACATATATATATATATATATTTATACTGATTGGAATCCTCCAGCATTTTAAAATCACTTTAGAGATGAATTTTGGGATTCTACTGCTCACAACTCCAAAATCCATAATGATTTAAGGACATACACTTTTCTCCTGTTTCCTTCCTGGCTACCCCCCTCCCCTCCAGAACAGTTCAATATAGCCACGGCTCAAGTTTAATGGGAAGAGAGAGAAGTTTTTGAATAGTTTGTTTTACTTTGGTGATCTGGGTGGCACATATTGCTCTTTGCCATTACGTCGAGTCACTCCCTGAGGTATAGCCCTATGGCCAAACTGGCGTCTCTGTTCCCTGATTTTTCCAGCTGCTCCCCTGGGAATGGTATTGCCTCGGAAGCTAGAATACTCCTTACTAGCCCTTGCTTCTGGCTTCTCATGTGATTTCTCAATGGACTTCTCAGGAGCTCCATTCTCTTCATTTTTGGTGGGAGACACTACATTGGAGCGAAGTTCTCGTAGTGGCTGCACAAGAACCGGAGCTGGCTCTTTAGGGGGCTTCTGGCACACTTCAGCATAACTTAGCTTTCGGGGTTCCTTTCAAGTGAAGATAAGAAAACAAATTTATGGAACATTCTCTAAGTAAAGTACAAAAAGGATAGTGTGACCCACAAGAAAATCAGGAAGCTATCTTCTAGGAGAGTGCAACAGGCATGCTCATATACACTGCTATTAAAAGTGTATTGGTACAATCTTAAAAATAAAAAATTTTGTTGAAATAATAAAAAGCCTTGGCAATTTATAAATGATACAGTATTTTCACTTGAGGAATTTATGTGAAAGATGTTCATGTCAGCATTGTTTATGATGATGAAAAAAACTGGAAATAACCTAAATGTCTAACAAGGAAAGACAGATGAAGTTAATAACGTACTTTCAGGTTAAGTTAATAATGTACATTCGTATGATGAATGTACATCTGTTCTCTCTTCCATGGCTACAAAGAACCCTGAGATGGATTCCACAAGAATCTCAACAGAGCAGCTGGGAACCAATAATATATTAATAGAAGACTAATTAAAGGTCTTAATTACCTCATCTGGAAAAAAAGGACAACAGGGGTGTTATGAGAATGGGATAAAGCATGTGAGAAGTATTTAGCACTGGTCTTAGCATATAGGAGGCATTCAGTAATCGGCAGCTGCTACTGTACTATTATTAAATAACAAAATAAAATGTCTTTAACCTAGAAAAAAGGAACTATACCAAAATGCAACTAGTTATATTAATGAATGAAAAGATTATTAAATTTTGTGTTTTTGCTCTGCTTTCCTGTATTTCCCTAATTATAAAAATGATTTCTGGAAACTGAATAAAAATGGAAGTAGCCCTCATAAGACTTGTTAAACATTACAAAAAAAAAAAAAAAAGAATTTCAAGGGGGCTCAAAGCCTCTTTAGCCCCAAAATACATTCATCATAACTTGAATAAGAAAGAAGCTTCATTTAACTAGAAGGTGATCAGAAAAAAAGCCATTAAAAAACAAAAAACAAACAAACAAAAAATCCAAAACCCAGAATGGGGGCAACCTGGGTGGCTCAGCTGGTTGAGCATCTGCCTCTGGCTCAGGTTGTGATCCCAGAGTCCTGGGATCAAGCCCCGTGTGGGCTCTCCCTCTCCCCTATTCATGCTCTCTTGCTCAAATAAATCTTAAAACAAAAACAAAAACAAAAAACCCCAACAAAAACCAAAACTTCTCAGAATGAATAATTATTCTTCACTATCTCAACATGGCTAAAATTTCCCATTTCTTTGCAGTGACTTTAAACTCCTTGAGCTTCATTTGAGGCAGGCAGCCTCAGTTTGGGCTATTTCCAAATGACTCTGCTCTAGCAAAGACTTATGTGAAAAAAAATCTCATTATTTAACCTATTATTTTTTTTCCCCCCACATACTAAATTCATCAAGTTACCTGTAGGGCCACAGCTACAGCTGCATTTATGTTATTATTACACGGTGAAGCACTATTTGTCCTTGATGGCTTTGCACTACTTGGGGAAGAAACTGGTATAGCTGTCTGGTTGAGAACATCCTTCTGAACAGAGGAATCCTCTACTAGCTCCTTTTCTTGCTGAGTTGTGCTAAGGAAAAGAGAGCTTGACATTAGACTTAGCACAGCACACAGAAACAGCTGAGCAAATGATCAGAAGAGAAAGTAATCTTAATGTGGAAGACCTTCTATACTGAAACTGTACCTTAATGCAGGAAGCTCAGCTGTACATGGAGGACTGGTACTCATACTGAGTTGCTGGGCAGAGGTGCAGTCTGTCTGTTCATCCTCTGCAGGCACTGGGCAGCTAACTCTTAACTCCTCATTATCCTTAAAAGTAAAAACATATTTCAAAATTAACTCATATAGACACTTGGTTTCCAAAGAAGATATCCAAATTGCCAATAAGCACTTATAAAGAGGCTCAATCATCATCAGTCATTAGGGAAATGCAAATCAAAACCACAATGAGAAATCACTTTCCACTCACCAGGGTGGCTATAATCAGTAAGTAACAAATGTTTGTGATGATAATGGAGACACTGGAACTCTCATACACTGAGTGGTAACGCAAAATGGTGCATTTTGGAAAATAGTCTGGCAGTTCCTCAAAAAGTTAAACACAGTTACCATATGACCCAGCAGTATATACCCAAGAGAAAATATGTCTACACACAAATGTTCATAGCAGCATTATTCATAGTAGCCAAAAAACTGTGAACAACCTAAATATTCATCAACTGGTAAATGGATAAACAAACTGTGGTATATCCATATAATGTAATATTACTGGGCAATAAAAGGAATGAAGTACTGGTACACACTACCACAATGGATGAACCTTGAGAAAATCATGCTAAGTGAAATAAGCCAGTCACAAAAAGGCAAATATTATATGATTCCACTTACACGAGATACCCAGAGTACTCACATTTATATAGATAAAGTAGAACGGTGGCTGCCAGGGGCTGAGGGAAGGGGGAATGGGTAATGGGAGTCACTGTGTAATGGGTATTTAAAAGATTTTGTGTTTTAAGGAATCTCTACACCCAACGTGGTCCTTTACTCACAACCCAGAGACCAAGAGTTGTATGCTCTACAAACTGAGCCAGCCAGGTCCCCTACAGCATTTTATATTTACAAGATTGAGAGTTCTGGAGATTAGATGCACAACAATGTGAATGTATTTAACACAACTGAACTGCATACACTGAACAATGCTTAAGATGGTAAATTTTTTAGAGGGGCAGAGGGAGAGAATCTCAAGCAGACACCATGCTGAGCGTGGAGCCTATGTGGGGCTTGATTTCACCACCCTGAGATCAGGACCAAAGTTGAAATCAAGAGTCGGATGCTTAATTGACTAAACCACCCAGGCACCCCTTAAGATGGTAAAATTTATATTATGTGCAATTTACCACAATTTTTTTTTTTTAGAGATTTTTATTTATTTGAGATAGAGTGAGAGAGAGAGAGCATAAGGGCGGGAGAGCAGCAGAGGGGAGAGGGAGAAGCAGGCTCACCACTGAGCAGGGAGTCCGATGTGGGGCTTGATCCCAGAACCCCAGGATCATAACCTGAGTTGAAAACAGATGCTTAACTGCCTGAGCCACCCAGGCGCCCCTTACCACAATTTTTTTTTTTTTT